TTTTTTTTAATGTTTTATTTATTTCTAGGTGAGAGAGAGAGACAGCGTGAGCAGGGGAGGGTCAGAGAGAGAGGGAGTCACAGACTGAAACAGGCTCCAGGCTCTGAGCTGGCAGTCAGCACAGAGCCCGATGCGGGGCTCGAACCCACGAACCATGAGATCATGACCTAAGCGAAAGTCGGACGCTTAACCGACTAAGCCACCCAGGTGCCCCTCTTTTATCTCATTTTCATCTGCATTGACTTTGTGATCTCTTTCAGAGTTTTCTCTTACTTGCGCTTTGGGGTGCTGATTTTCCTGTTTGTTGCACCTGCCCGTCTCCCTCACGGTGACTTGTTTTCTCGCGTGATTTGTGATCCTTTGTCATGAGTTCGTCTTCGGAAGTGACAGGGCTGTTTGTTTGTCGAGTCCCAGGTGCTCTGGGTTGAAGAGTGCTCTTCCGGCAGCCTCCGCCTATTTCTTCAGCTTTCCATATCATGCAGACAGACCACACTCCTGCCTAATGTGCAAGCCTGAGTCTCAGGCTCCTTAGGGTAGCTTTTTCCACTCAAGGCCCTGGACATCTGTTCCCTTGCTACTTCCTCAGGCTGGTCGGTGGAGGTATATTTTGGTTCCCTTTTCAAGAACAGAGTAGCCCTCTGAGACCCTGGCAGGTACTCAGGCTCGTGTGCTGTGCTCCAGCTTCTTACAGGTCTCCCGTCACTTATGGGTGTCAGAGCCCAGCTCTCTCCATGTCTGAAGCCCCCATGGTGTCCCCTGTCTCCTGCCACCCAGCTCTGAGTTCTCACCTTGTCTTTAGTACAGGGATCAGCCCTGAATTTCTTTCAAGTTCAATTTTTGGTTTTGTTTTTTAACATTTTCACACAAGTAGTGGGAGGCATCCAGCCACCCTCTCGATTCACCGTGTTTCCAGAATCCCCCCAACCCCACCCCCGGCCCCCGTGTTTGCATACTACAGTGCCAGGGAGCTTGCTACCTCCCAAGGGCCTGGGTCATCTTGCTCACACCGGAGAATGATGGGCAGCCGAGTGTAGGTGTCCTCCAGGCCGCTCAGGTGGGAGGAAGGTGAGGATGAAGGTGGGTGGGTGACATCAAGCCAACTCTCCAGCCAGATGTTGTCAAGGATCAAAGCCAGGTAGAGGCTGCTGGGGTCTCTTCCATTCTGAGGCCTCAGGGGGAGGGCGCAGAGCACGAAGCCTGCTGGCCTAGGGCCAGAGGGGCGATGCATTCTCCCTTCTAGAGCGTCAGTGGGTGAAAAGCATCATCACAAACTCTGGGGGAGAGAAGGGGCCGGGCTTGGGCCAGTCCTGGTCAGGGATCCCGGGACGCGCTGGGACCATCCTGAGAGCTGGAGGGGTAGGGTCTGTCTGGGAAGGGGACTCACCATCAAAGTCTACTGTGCCATCCCCGTTGAGGTCCACTTCTCGGAGCATCTCATCCAGCTCAGGACCCACGAGTGGCTCCCCCAGGAGAGCGGGTGCTGCCTGCCGCAGCTCTGCCACCGTGATCCGTCCGTCTCTGTCCGTGTCAAACTAGGATCCCAGCACAGCTCAGTCCCTCCCACCCAAAGCTGCCTCTGCCCCGACCCATCTCCACCTTGCCACATCCTGTGCCTGGATGTCCCCGCCTTCGCCCATCCAAACCCTCCTCCTCCCAGGAGACAATAGGCCCCCTCCTCCAGGAAGTCTCCTTGGGTGGATCCTCCAGCTGAGAGTGAGTGGCCCCTCTCCAATCCCTCGCGGGCCCCAGTCCCAGCATCCGCAGGGTTCCGGGCCTCCAGAGGCTGAGCCCTCCCGCCCCCACCGCCTCATCTCCTGGCCTGGATGGAAGGCGAGCACGTATGCCGCCAGCTGCCCACCAGCACCCAATTCGACCACGCTCCACACCTCTCGGAAGGCGATGCGCAGCTCCCGCACCCCCAGCATGTGTGCCGTCTCCTCCCTCAGCTTCGGGCCCATCAGTTCCACAAACTCCTCAAAGTCCACGCGGCCTCCCACTGCGGACCGAGGCAGAGTGTCACAATGGAGGAGGCTGGGGCCCCGAGAAGGGACGCCAGCCTCTCCCCAGCTCTACATCCAGGAAGGGACACCCAGCATCCATGCCCTCGGGGAGCGGGGAGGAGGTCGGAGCCCCCTTCTCCACAGGGATCACAGGGCGAGGTGCCTGAGTGTTCTCAGTGAAACACCTGAGTGCGGGGGGGGGGGGGGGGGGGGGGGGGGGGGGGAAGAGGCCAAGGCTTGGAACCAGGCAGCCCCAAGGTTAAACCCTGGTTGTGCTGCCGATGGGGCATGGGTGACCTTGAGTGCCAATGGCCTTGGGTGACTTACTAAACCTCCTTCCTCATCCTGGGGGAAGGGTGAGAGGACCCACTCCTAGGTGCTGCCGGGGGGAGGGGCACAGTTCATCCCTCCAACACGCTGAGACCCCGTGGGCAGCGATAAATGCCTCTTAGGGACCGTCCATGGAGTCCCGCCATTCTAAGATTACCATCAATTACCAAAAGCACCGATGGTCAAATAACAGCTTCGGGGAAAAGAAAAGAAGCCTGGCACTAAAGGTTCACGTCAAGAGTAAGTCACATCCCATTTTGGAAACCACAGAGCAAACGCAGGTGTCCTGCAATGAAGGGAATCTGATATTTGACAATTTAGCTAATGACAGTCACACAGGCGCCCACCCATCCGACATTTAATCACCAGGAGTGGCCAGGGTTCTGTCACACTAGGTCTCACTGAGGTCTCTCTCTTTTCAGGAGCCTCAGGAGGGTCAGAGAGACGCAGGGACACAGAGCCAGGTGGCTGGTACCAGCAGGGAGCACCGGCAGAGGGGGTCCTCGGCCTGAACCCCAAGGGTCTCTCTTGGGTCACTGGTGCCTTCCTTGACCCCGGGGTGCCCGCATCTCACAAGGCTAATGTCAGGCTCTCAAAATGCCCTAGAAACTGTCACACACTCCCGCCATCACCCCTGTGGACTCCCAGAGTCACTCCCCCACCACCTCTTCATCGTCCTCCGAACCATGAGGCTCAGGAGGACCAGGGCTGCCCAGCTGCGGCACAAAGCCGGGTGGCTGCCGCCACACTCCGCCCCCGGCCGGTGGGGGCCAGCCACTCACTTTGCATCTTTTAATTTTTTTAAATTTTTTAATATTTTAAAATTTATTTCTGAGAGAGACAGCATGAGCAGGGGAGGGTCAGAGAGAAAGGGAGACACAGAATCCGAAGCAGGCTCCAGGCTCTGAGCTAGCTGTCAGCACAGAGCCTGACGCGGGGCGCGAACCCACGAACCGCGAGATCATAACCTGAGCCGAAGTCGGACGCTTAACCGACTGAGCCCCCCAGGCGCCCCACTCACTTCGCATCTTGATGTGCTGCGAGACCTCGATGAGCTCCATCTCGGTGGGCATGTAGCCCAGCGTCCGCATGCAGTCGCCTAGGTCCCGGTAGCCGATGTAACCATCATGGTCAGTGTCAAACTCTTCAAAGGCGGCCTGAAGCTCTGCGGGGGAGGGAGGTCAGGCCGGGGCAGCCCGGCTCAGGGACGCCTCCCGCCCGCCACTGCCGCCAGCAAGGGCCACTCACCATCCAGCTCCTCGGGGCCCAGCTCGCGGTCCTGCAGAGGCACAGGCCGGCATGTCCCTGGGGGCCATCCTTCCTCCTCCAGCCCCAGCCCACGACGGCCTGGGTAGGGCCAGTCTCACAAGGGCGGGAGAAGGCAGCTGAAGCCCCATGGCCCCCGGAGAAGACATGACCCCCCCCACCTTCCTGCCCGGGGGCGTCCAGAGCTCGCACACAATCCTGGGTTTGAAGGCTAGCTCTGCCCGCCTCCCGGCCAAGCCCCAAACCAACCGTTCCCCAAACTGTAAAATCCCTCCCCCTGCAGCCCAGGCTCCTGGGTCTGGAGCGGAGGTACTAGGAGGCCTGAGTACTACGGGCAGGGTGGGCAGAGTCCAAGGGCACAAGTGTGGCCCCCCCCTCCCCGGCCCAGGCCCCACCTGACCTTCCCGAAGATGCGGCTGAGCAGGGGCCCGTAGGTCTTCTGAGCAGCATCCTGCCGGGTGACAGAGCGGTGTCGGTGGGACTGGCGACGACCGGCTGGCCTGGGGGCGGCAGGGCCCGTCCCCTCCTGTCCTTCTCGGGTCCCAGGGGGGCTCTTGCTGCTCCCCGGGGCCTCGGGGCCGGGGATGGGTGCCTGCCCCTCAGAGCCCCCAGCACCCTTCCGGGACCCTCGGAGTCCCCTGTCCTTCTTGCTCCTCTTCCTGGTCGAGAGCAGGCCCTCAGCACCACTCCTGGAAGCCACAGCCTCGACAGGGGGCTTCTGGGGGTCTGGGCCGCGCTGCCCCCTCGCCGGTTCTGTGGCCATGTGGGGAGGGCCGGCGGGGCTCAGAGACCCAGCACCAGGGAGCACCCTTGGTTCTCAGGAACCATAAAGCTACTTAACGCACCCCTACCCTGAGAGCTGATCGCCTGGGATGGAGCCTTGAGGGGGATTAGGGTAAGTGAGGCCGGCAGCTCCAGGCCCTAATCCGGGCCCTCTGCCTGGGGGCAGAGACACATGGGTCAAGAGAACTGTCCTCAGCAACAAGGGTGCCGGGACACGGGGCTGCCGTGAGCTTGGGGCTCTGGCTCTGCCCCTTAGGAGCTGGGAGACCCAGCAATTTCATCTCCCTGAGCCTCAGTCGCCTGGTCTATAAAATGGGGCCACTATCACTGAAGAGTCAAGGACTCGGCCCGGTTGTGTCACATGAGCAGGCTCAGCTAAGCAAGGAAGGGGGAGTGATCTCAGGAGAAAGAGCGTGGGCAAAGGCTGGGTGGTGGGAGAGGGTAGGAGAGTTGTCCCTCGCGGGGACAGCGTGGTCGGGGCAGAGGGTCTGTGAAAGTGAGGAAGCGAGGCCAGATCACAGAGACTGAGGGACACGGGGGTGATTTAGGAGGAGGCAGACCCTGGGGGGGGGAGGGTTTCCCGGAGCCTGCCCTGAAGCAGAGGGTCCTAGGGTGAGGAGGTTTTAGCCATGCGGCTCGGTCAGGGATGGGATGGCCTGGCCGGTCACCTGGCCCTGCTACGCCGGGGTTAGGGTTTCCCAGCGAGCAGCCCCAAGCCCATGAATGATTGATGTCTTCTCAGCTTGGGTTTCCGTCGGCCGCCTTAGCGCCGCCAGGCGCCCTGCGGCAGGTCCCGGCGAGGGGGCCCCAGATGGCTAGACCACTGGGCAGGCAGGCCCGCCCCGCTCCTTCCGGCCAGCAGCCTGCACCTCACAGGTAAGCCAGGCCTCACCTGTTTGGGCTCGGGGGAGCCCAGGGCTCTGGTCCAGCAGAGGCTGGAGCTTGCAGAGTGGGGTCTGCCTGAGGCAAAGCACTAGGAGAGAGGAAGCCACTGGGCTGAAGGCCAAGGGGCTGCAGCCATGGGCCACGGGCAGGATCCAGCCTTTCTGGGGCATCTGCTTCCTCCCCTGGCTCAGTGCTGCCGGGAGGACTTTCTCCAAGTCCAGAGGGAAACCCCCTCGGCCAGTGAGGGAAGGTGGGCGGAGTGGGGAGGGGAGGGACAGCCAGCCTCTTGCGTCCCACCCACCCCATCACCACCCGGCTGAGCCCCCTCCTCCTTCTGTCTGATAGCCTCAGGGGCCACCTTGTGCCTGAGCTGAGAATGAGGCCGGGGCCACAGGTGGGCGTTGAGGATGATGAAGAGGTTCCAGCTGCTTCCGGGACAGCCCTTCTGGCCCCAGGCTGCCGGGCCCTGAGTTGTAGACCACACCCTGAGTTCATGAGCTGCACTTCCCCTGGCCCAGGCTCCTGCCCACCCTTGGCCTCCTACAGGCCCATGGGACTCTGAGCCTCCCCTCCTTGGAATCTTAAACACTTGAACTCCAGGATACAGGAAGGCAAGGGGCTTGTGACGATCTGACCAAGTGCTTTTCAAACTGTTTTCCCTGGAGCACCCCTGGGACTCCACTGTAATCTTCTATTTGAAGAAAAGATTCACCAGCTTTAAAAATATGTTTGAGGGGCGCGTGGGTGGCTCAGTCAGTGAAGTGCCTGACTTTGGCTCAAGGCATGATCTCGCAGTTTGTGAGTTCGAGCCTGTACTGGGCTGTCTGCTATCAGCACAGAGCCTGCTTTGGATCCTCTGCCTCTCCTCCACTCGCACTTGTTTCTCTCTCTCTCTCTCAAAAACAAATAAACATTAAAAAAAATTTAAAGGGTGCCTGGATGGCTCAATTGGTTAGCAACTGACTTCAGCTCAGGTCACAATCTTGCGGTTCGTGGGTTCGAGCCCCGTGTCGGGCTCTGTGCTGACAGCTCGGAGCCTGGAGCTGCTTCCGATTCTGTGTCTCCCTCTCTCTCTGCCCCTCCCCCATTCGTGCTCTCCGTCTCCATCTGTTTCTCTCTCTCTTAAAAATAAATATCAAAACAAGTTTTTAAAAAGGATGTGTATATGACATCTTTATAAAAAAGTATTTAAAAATTAAAAGTAAATAAAATAAAAAATTAAAAAGGGGGAAAATATAAATAGATATATATGTTTATATATAAATATATATATATTTATTTGTTTATATAAATATATGTTTATATATTTATTTATATGTTTTTATATATATATTTTTATATATGTTTTTATATATGTTTATATATAAAAATATATATGTTTATATATATTATTTATATATAATATATATGTATATATAAATATATATGCATATATAAACATATATATATTATGTATATATATAAATATATAAACATATATATAATATATATATGTTTAAAACATTATATATGTTTGAAAGCCCCTGGTTTAGTCTGCTAGGGCGTACTGGGACTCCGTGAGGCAGGATGGTTACGTCCGAGTTTCAGTCGTGGTGCTTCCTGTGCTGTCTCTGACCTTGGGCGAGTCACTGATCCTCTGAACCTTCCTCTCCTCACCTGTAAAATGGATGGTCTGAGGACCACGCAGGGGCATCTATTTCAAGTCCCTGGCAGAGGCTAACTGCCCAAAAGGTGATGACGATGGCTCAGAGAGGGACAGTGACTTGCCTGGAGCTACCCAGCAGCCTCTGTCATACTCAGTCCCTCATGATTTCGTTGGTTCCTCAGGCACCCGCTCCGTGGCCAACAGCACACCGGGGAGCCCAGACGGACACTGCCATGGAAGCCAACCTGGGGGCCGCTGGCCACGGGCCCCGCACGGAGCTGGACGACGAAGACTACTACCCCCAGGGTGGCTGGGACACGGTCTTCCTGGTGGCCCTTCTGCTCCTGGGGCTGCCGGCCAACGGGCTCGTGGCCTGGCTGGCTGGTTCGCAGGCCCGGCAGGGAGCGGGCACGCGGCTCGCCCTGCTGCTGCTCAGCCTGGCCCTGTCTGATTTTCTGTTCCTGGCGGCAGCGGCCTTCCAGATCCTGGAGATCCAGCAGGGAGGGCGCTGGCCGCTGGGGACGGCCGCCTGCCGCTTCTATTACTTCCTGTGGGGCGTGTCCCACTCCTCCGGCCTCTTCCTGCTGGCGGCCCTCAGCATGGACCGCTGCCTGCTGGCTCTGTGCCCACGCTGGTACCCCGGGCACCGCCCGGCCCGCCTGCCCCTCTGGGTCTGCGCCGGGGTCTGGGTGCTGGCCACGCTCTTCAGCGTGCCCTGGCTGGTCTTCCCCGAGGCCGCCGTCTGGTGGTACGACCTGGTCATCTGCCTGGACTTCTGGGACAGCGAGGAGCTGCCGCTGAGGATGCTCGAGGTCCTGGGGGGCTCCCTGCCTTTCCTCCAGCTTCTCGTCTGCCACGTGCTCACGCAGGCTGCCGCCTGCGGGGCCTGCCGCCGCCACGGGCCGGGGCCCACGGCCTGCCGCGGCTTCGCCCGTGTGGCCAAGGCCGTCTTGTCAGCCTACGTGGTCCTGCGGCTGCCCTACCACCTGGCGCAGCTGCTGTACTTGGCCTTCCTGTGGGACCTCTACCCCGGCTACCTGCTCTGGGAAGCCCTGGTCTACACCGACTACCTGATCCTGCTCGACAGCTGCCTCAGGCCCTTCCTCTGCCTCCTGGCCAGCGCCGACCCCCGGGCCCTGGTGCGCGCCCTGCTCTCCCCCTTCGCCGCCGCTCTCTGCGAGGAACGGCCCGGCAGCTTCACGCCGGCCGAGCCGCAGCCCCAAGTGGACTCCGGGAGTCAGACTCTTCCCGGGCCCCTGGCCGGGGTCCAGCCCGAGGTGCGCCCCGCGGCCCAGCCGCAGCCGGATGCTGTGTCCCAGCCCCAGGGGACCCCCACAGCAGAGCCACGGCGGGATTCGGTGGCCGGGCCACAGGCAGACCCCACAGTGCAGCCTCGGGCGGATTCGGTGGCCCGGCCACGGGCGGATCTTGTGATCCAGCCTCAGCTGAACGCCCCAGTTCAGCCCCAGGCGAACCGCGAGTCTCAGCCCCATGTAGACTTCGTGGCCCAGCCACAAGCAAGCCCTAAGGCCCAGACCCCTGGACCTGCGTCCAGCCCAGCTCTCGGCCCCCGTGATGAAGCCTCTTCGGGCCCCTCCACAGAGCCCGCCCCAGAAGCCCCCGAGGCCCCCGCCGTGCCCGCCGACTCTGAGGGAGAAGGTCCCAGCAGGACCCCCCCAGAGGAGGCCCCTGGAGCAGGCCCCACGTGAGGGTCCGGGAAAGCTCAGGCCCATCGAGGCAGTGGAAGAGCTTGAGGGAGACAGAGGACCGGCCAGTCACAGAGGAGGGGGCTGTGGAGGAAGTCATCACGGGAAGCCCCGCCACGTCCCTTGGGGCCACAGGAGGACTTGGGGGAAGTGGAAATGAAGCACCAAAGTCCCAGGCAGTTTGTCGTGATCGTCTTCTCCCTACCCAGGTCCCGCTCAGTTTCTCCGCGCCTGCCCTCCGCACACAGTGGCCCGACAGTCCCCCCCGACGGGGGGCCGCTGGGCTCTGGCCCCCAACACCCCAGACCCGCTGCCAGCCTCCCTCAGCCTCAGTCCTGCAGGAGGTAGACGGCAGGGGCGACTTCCCCGAGCTTGAGCTGACCTCCCTTAATCCTTCCTCCACCCTCCCCTCCCTGTCTCACCCTCTAACTTGGGCGGGAGGAGGCCAAAGAGGAAATCCTTGCAGGGAAGGAAGGCATCATTCAGGAGCGAGCAGGGAGGGACCTGGGGTCCTCGGAGCCCGCGCAGGCTGGCCTGGCCTGACCAAGGCCTGTCCACCAGCCCCCCGCCCCCCCCCAAGCAGTGAGCCTGCACAGGACCTCCCAGGGCAAGGCAGAGGCGAGAGCCACGAAGCCTGGATTCAAATCAGGCTCTGGTGATGGCAGGAGCCTGGCGCACAGTAGGGGCTCAGTGAACAAACCCCGTTCGCTGGCATCCAGGGACGTCCCTGCAGAGGCTGGAGATGGAGGAGGGGAGGCGCTGCCTTGGCCTGGGCGTCTGGGGTCCTGGGAGCTTTGGGGCAGATCAGCCGTGCCCGTGACCGGTTCTGGGCCACGGGTGCCCAGGTGGCCTGAGAGAGCATCTGCCCCACTCAAGGGTTCAACAAGTGTCCCCCAGCCCCCCTCCACCCACCATGGGGGGCCGCGGGTATAGAGTGCTCAGTCCCGCTTCCATTTGAGCCCCTTCTATGCACTCAACCCACGTGCAGAGATGGGATGATGTCCACACAGAGAGCCCTGGGGACCAGTGGCTCCAAGAAGGGTACAGGCCCCCAGGAGGTCACACGACATCTCTGGGGCAGAGCCAACCTCTCCCCCTCGAGCTGCAGACACTGCAGTAAAAACTGAGAAGTGCCGAAGATCTCATTCGGAACCCCTCACCCTACTTCCCTTCTTCCCTTTCACTCTTCTACACCAACCCCCTGCCAGCTTGCCCTCCCACTCCGTGTTCTACAATCATGAGCCCTTTAACCTCCTCCCTGAGTCCTGACCTGTAGTGGCCGAGAGACGCCCTTACCGGCAGGCCATAAAACAGCAGACATTTAAGTGCTACCCTTGCGGGGTGCTTCTATTTTAAAAAGGCAGCAGGCTGTGCGGGCGGTCAGGAACGGTGCGGGCAGACGTGGGGTCTGGTTGCCAGCTCCCTCTTTACCTCGATTTTCTCCTCTGTACAATGGGGGAGGAGGGGCCATGTTCCCCTTGCAAGGGCTGCTGCTCTCATTAACTGAGCCCAGGGACGAAAGCTGGCTGAATGGTGGCCATGGCGGTGGTTATGGTGGTGGCAATGCCAAGGGCATAATTATAACATGTCCTGGTGGCAGAACTGTGGACACTGCTCAGAGATTTCTGACCAGGCACAAATTTGTTGAATTCAGTCCTTCAGAAAGTATTTATCGAGCACTTGCTAGGTGACTTTCCAGCCAGCCTTCCATTCTGGAGATACGTGGGTGGGATGAGGGGCACCGGAGGCCGTGCCCCAGGGGTTTTTTGAATCCCAGCTTCACTACTCACCAGCTATATGATCTTCAGCAAGGCTCTTGGGTTCTTTGGGACTCAGTTTCCTCATCTGTAAAATGGGGATCATAACAATGGTTCCCATTTCCTAGAAGCGTTGATCCCTGTGAAGTACTTGGATCCTTGACTGGCACAGAGGAAGTGCTTAATAATTGTTAGCCATTGATTTAATTATGCCAGTGGGCATCCCCAAGCCTCACCCAGGCCTGGGACCAGCACTGACCCACGGGCCAGAGCCCACGCGGCAGCATCTTGCCCACTAGGCGTCTGCTCCACCATCCTGCCTCCCTCTCTGGAACAAATGCTTTTACACTCGCCCACCCTCATGGGTGCACACTCCCTGGAGGCAGGGACAGGACTTGCAGTGCCCCTCCCCCTTCTCCCAGGCAGCTGTCCTGAAGCTTTTTCAACATGGCAGGCAGATCGGGCACTCCTATGCCAGCCACCTGCCAGTAACTCTGGTCCAAACCCAGCAGTTTGGATAGTGGGCCAGCCCATCTCCGAGTTCCCTGAGGGGAACTCTCACCCATAATGGGTAATTGCGATCCAGGAGAGAGGGCAGTGGCATGAAGGGTTTTGTGGGATAAAGAGGAGTCCTCCTGATCCACAGAGAGTGTTTTGTGTTGGAGGAAACATGCACACCCAAGGCCACAGAGGTTGAAAGGAGGGCTCATCCCTGACGTTCCACAATCCATCTACCTCACCCCTAACACGCCCCATGGGGCTGGGCTCCTGTTGCCCTCTGGGAGACTCACCCCTTCTCCAGGCGAGAGGTACCCGTCACGGAGAAATTTGTTTTTGAGAACTGTGAATATGAACATTGCCGATTCTACATTCAGGACTGCTGTTCGTTCATTCATTCAACGGACATGAATTGAACACACGCTGAGTACTAGGTCCCCTTCCAGGTGCTTCCATACAGTGGGAAACAAGATGGGTGCTAGCCTCCACTTGCTGATGTCCTGGGGGGGTGAGGCAGGCGAAAAGCAAATACACAAATAATTGCACACTATGACATCAGATCGTGGTTAAGAAAGGTGCAGGGGGAACAAGTGAGGGCCAGAGAGCCACCAGTGAGGGGGTGGTCGGGGAGGGCCCTGTGGGAAGGCGGCATTTGGGCAGAGCCCTGGAGGAAGTGAGGGGATGGAGCCTTTGCACAATCTGGGGAAGTTTGCAGATGGTGTGAACAGGGATGTGCACGGGCCCCAGAGTGGGAAGGAAGGTGGCTTGTTTCAGGGACAGCAGTGTCACTGGGTCACAGACGGGACAGAGGGAGGTAACGAATGGGGGAGGGGGACGCAGTGGCTGTGGATGTTATTTCAAGAGTGACAATGAGGAGCGAAGGGAAGGGCGGGTAGGGGGTGTTGTTTGGGCTTTAGACAGACCCCTGGCTGTTGCCTGGAGGGCGCAATGGAGAGAGAGGCTTAAGTGGCATTTGGGAGAAGGTGCCTCTCCCAAAGCACCCTCATTCCTGTCCTTTTTTGGAAGGGTCTGCCTGCCCCAGGGTTTACGGAACAAAGGGAAAAGCAAGGACTTTGGAGCCAAATAGATGGAAACTCAGTCTTGCTGGGGTCACCCGGGGCAGGCACCCTCCTCTCTGAGCCCTTTCCTCCTCAGGGGAGGAAAAGAGTGAGTAGGGTATGAGCCCCGCCTGCGACCCCAGATAAGACCCCTTCTGGCTTTGCTCTTTCCTCCTCTTCCCTCCCCCCCCCCATTTTTCTGGGGGAAAAAAGAAAAACGTGACCAAGGGGTGATGGTCAGGGTCTCCAAGAAGGAATGAGGGAGGTGGTCAGTGCCCTGGAGACACCAGCCCCAGGCAGAGGGGGCAGATTCTGCCTGTGGGACCCACAGGGACACCTAAATAACCCCCGCGGGGGTGCGGGGACACAGACAGGGATGGGGTAGATCTGGAGAGGCCAGTCTGGGCCCCTGTCACCGGAGCTGGGAGGAGGGGGACATCTGCAAACAGACCACCAGATCTCCGTGGAGACGGTCGAGGAGAGAGAGGTGTGCGGGATGTGGCAGAGGGCATGGCCCCATTTCTATTTTTAATAGGAAGGCTCGGCAGGCCCCAGCGGGGCTCAGGGGAAGGAATGGGTTGGCTGGCGCCTTCCACTTGCCCCTTAAAACCCCGCCGTTGCATTTACATTGTTCATCAAGAGCGTGCACTTCTGTAACCTTTAAAGAGAGGCACGTGAATATACGGACTGTCAGCCTAGATACTGTATTTTGGAGAGGGGGGTGCTCTGGGGGACCCGGGAGAGCGTACCGGGATGGGGACTGGGACGGCGGGCTGGCCCCCCAAACTTCGTACTCCTGGGGGTTCCGCTAAAGGAGCAAGACCGGGAAGGGGCCGCGGTCTGCGGGCAGGCGGCACCTCGCACCTGCAGCCCCTCCGGCCCCACCTCCGCCCCTTGGCCCTAAGAGGTCCCCCCCCCCCCCAGTGTCTGAGGGTCAGGGCTCGCCCAGGCCCCGCCCCTGCGCTCCCCCGGAGCCCCCGAACTCCTGGCCTCCAAGGGCGGCTCGCAGCCTCCCGCCCCGCCCCTCCGCGCGTGACCTCGGCCCCGCCCCCGCGAGCCCCCGCCCCGCCCCCCCGCCCCCTGCCCCCGGCTCCTCTGTCACTTCCTGATTCCCGCTTCCTGCTTCCCAGAGGCCGGGATCCGGAGCCGCCCGAGGCCGGTGCCGCAGTCCCCGGCGTCCCCGGTGAGCGCGGCGGGCCGGGGCTGGGGTCGCGGGCGGGAGGCCGGGCTGGGCTGCGGGGGCCGAGCTGTAGGAGGCTGGGGTGGGGGGTCGTGAGGCCGAGGAGCCCTTCCCCTCATGGTTCCGCTCATGGTTCACCTTGGACCCCGCTCCGAAGGCGCCCTGGGATGCTCTGCGGCCGTGAGCGGCGGCCTGACCCCCCCTCCCCCGCCCCGTCCCGCCAGGCCCCCTGGGCCGGCCTGGGGCTCCCTGCAGCTCCCTGCACATTCCTGCAGGCACTGCACATTCCCTGGGGCTCGGGACTGGGGCCGAGTGCAGTGCGGCTGCACAGAGGAGTCCTTTCCTGCCTCCTGGGTCTGCCCAGCCCATCACCCAACTTCCAAGTCCTGGGCTGGAAGGAGTCCGCTTCCAGGTGACTGGGACCCTCCGAGGAGCTAAGGGTGCCCTGCTCTGGCACCTCCCACTTCCCCCGCACACATACCAGAGGCAGGAGGGGCCTGGGTAGGGTCCTGCAAAGCCCCTCCCCACTCAGCAGTGTGGGCCTCTGGTCAGGGCATTTACCACCCCCCTCAGATGCCACCTTGGGGGGGGTGGCAGGCAGGGTCTGCCCCTGTGACCCCCGTTCCGTAACTGGGGAAACTGAAAGCCAAGAGGGTTATGATGACCAGGCCCCTGGTTGCACCCTCTCACCACCCTGCATGCAGCCCTGGGAGGGCTGGGGGCTGTTGGGGTGGGTGAGGGCTGATCAAGGCCTCTCCCCCCTGCAGACATGTCCTTCCGCAAAGTGGTTCGGCAGAGCAAATTCCGGCATGTGTTCGGACAGCCGGTCAAGAACGACCAGTGCTATGAAGATATTCGAGTGTCCCGTGTCACTTGGGACAGCACCTTCTGCGCAGTCAACCCCAAGTTCCTGGCGGTGATCGTGGAGGCCAGCGGCGGGGGGGCCTTCCTGGTGCTCCCCCTAAGCAAGGTGCGCCCCATCAGGGCTGGGGGAAGGACTAGAGATGGGACCACACCCGCAGGGCCTGTCTGCTCACTTCACATTCCGTATCTTGCCCATCCCCGCGCTGTTGGGAAGGTGTCATAACCTACGTTTATTGCCTACATGGTATTAGCACAGATGGAGAAAGTTTTTTATGGCCACCGAGTCAGGGTCAGAGGCACCAAACGTTTCCTGCTCACCCTTGACTGCCCCTCTCATGCCCGCAGACGGGCCGCATTGACAAGGCCTACCCGACGGTGTGTGGACACACAGGACCCGTCCTGGACATTGACTGGTGTCCCCACAATGACGAAGTCATCGCCAGCGGCTCAGAGGACTGTACCGTCATGGTGAGGCACGGGGCTGTGGTTGTGCCTGGGTCACAGGTGTGGCTCGAGGCTGCTGCCAGTAGGGGCCAAGCAGTGGCCTCAGCTGGCGTCCCCACCCCTCTTGCAGGTGTGGCAGATCCCAGAGAACGGGCTGACCTCCCCGCTGACGGAGCCGGTCGTGGTGCTGGAGGGGCACACCAAGCGAGTGGGCATCGTCACCTGGCACCCGACCGCCCGCAACGTGCTACTCAGTGCAGGTCTGCACTGCCCCCCACCCCACACCCCTGCCCCTCTCTACGCACAGTTCCGGAGCCCACGCCCTCTCCCGAGCCCCTCTGACGGGCGGTAAAGATTGGCCACAGAGGTCAAGAGGCCAGGTCTGGTCCCAGGAGGGTGGTCCAAGCCAGCCTGGTGGGATGACGGCCCCCCGCCCGGCAGGCTGTGACAACGTGGTGCTCATCTGGAACGTGGGCACGGCGGAGGAGCTGTACCGCCTGGACAGCCTGCACCCCGACCTCATCTACAACGTCAGCTGGAGCCGCAATGGCAGCCTCTTCTGCTCTGCATGCAAGGACAAGAGCGTGCGCATCATCGACCCCCGTCGGGGCACCCTGGTGGCGGTACGTGGCCCTGGAGGGCGAGGATGGTAGTGGACAGGCCGAGGGGCTCTGTCGGGGTGCTCCACTGACCGCCCTGTCCCCTGGACAGGAGAGGGAGAGGGCGCACGAGGGGGCCCGTCCCATGCGGGCCATCTTCCTGGCAGATGGCAAGGTGTTCACCACGGGCTTCAGCCGCATGAGCGAGCGGCAGCTGGCGCTGTGGGACCCGGTGAGTGGCCACGGCCGGCCTGAAGGGGCAGGCTCGATCGAGACTTGGGCCCCACCCTGGGCGAGGAGGGCAGGAGTCACCCTGGAGAGAGGCCTGTGGTTCCCAGGTTCTCAGCCTGGCACCCTGCCAGCCTGTTCTGTCCTTACCCCTTGCTCTCCAGCCGCCCCCCCCACTGCCCTCAGGCCCCCCCCCCACCTCCGGGTCTCAACCCACATTATTCTTGCCAACTGTAAGGCCATTCCCTCCTTTGCTTGCCTGTTCCCATCTGGCTGCCCTTCAGGGCTCGGTGCAGAGGTCCCCTCCTCCAGGAAGCCTCCCAGCCCCTTCCACTGAAGGGCTCTGTCCCACAGCCCCATGCTTCCATATAGTGACCGCCACAGGTCCCTCTGAGACAGGAGCTGGTGCTGCCTGGCGCCCCTGGCTCCCATGTGGTAGGGACTGCCTCCACACTGGCTCCGAGGCCCGGGGTAGGCTAGGAAAGTGAGACCCTGGGAGTGGAGGGGATGCAGGAGGGTGGGAGAGAGCCCATCTGGCATGGTGGGGGCAGTGCCAGCTGGCATGTGGGGCGGCCTGGGGCCAGTCCTGGTGGAGGGCTGGGATGGTGAGGAGGGGCCGGGGGAGGACTCCGGCCTGACTGCCCCCCACCCCTCGTGCCAGGAGAACTTTGAGGAGCCCGTGGCCCTGCAGGAGCTGGACTCGAGCAACGGGGCCCTGCTGCCCTTCTACGACCCAGACACCAGCGTGGTCTACGTGTGCGGCAAGGTGGAGCCAGGCAGGCGCGCAGGGGGCAGGGAAGAAGGCTGCCTGCCTGAGTGCTGACCCCTGCCCCTCCCCCGCCACAGGGTGACTCCAGCATCCGGTACTTCGAGATCACGGATGAGCCCCCCTACATCCACTTCCTGAACACGTTTACCAGCAAAGAGCCGCAGAGGGGCATGGGCAGCATGCCTAAGAGGGGCTTGGAGGTCAGCAAGTGCGAGATCGCCCGGTAAGGAGGGCCTCCCCGGTGGCCTCTGGCTGCAGAGGGATGAGTTGGCTCCAGCGGCAGAGGCGAGGCCCATGGCCATACGGGGTGAAAGGTCAGACCTCCGGAGGCCGCTCGGGAGCAGGAACCCGCCCTCAGCAGGGCCAGGATAGAGGTCAGAGTGTGGAGAGTGCAGGGGGCAAGGGAGCCAGTGATGAGGAGGCTCCATCCATGGCTCCGCCCTCCCCTCCCTTTCCCAGGTTCTACAAACTACATGAACGCAAGTGTGAGCCCATTGTCATGACTGTGCCAAGAAAGGTGAGGCTACTTGGTTCCCTGCCCACCCACTCCTTTCTCCAGCAGACAGGACACGGTGGGGGTGACCGGGGTAAGGCCTGTGAATGGGACCTGGTTGAGTGTGGATGTGGTCGGTGGGCTGGTCGTACCCAGCCAGGTGCTGGGCCAGATGGGATGGGCAGGGACGTGACAGGGTGAGCTGAGGCCGTGCTCTGGAAGAGCCACAGGAGACGGCCAGGCAGAGGGAACAGAGGTGAGAACGGAGAGCGGGCGCGAGCCCGGGTGTAGTGGAGATTCCCATGAGGAGGGCACCAGTGGCGTGTGGCGCAGCCTCGGGTGTCCGGCCAAGAGCCTTGGACGAGCTTCGTCCGTCTCCACCGAGTGCGCCATTCTGCATGCCAGGCACGTCCCCGGGAGCAGAGCTGTGAGGGGGGCTGACAGGGCTCACAGTCCGTGGGACACACACGGCCCCCAGAGTCCCCTGAAACCACGCAGCTGGCCCCTGCTCAGGAGCATCCGGAAGGCTCCTGAGGGAGCTGCTGGCGTACCCCGAAGGGAAGTGAGATGACAGGCTTGTGTTTAGAGGGGCTGCTGGAGGCCAGGCCATTGGAGGATGGGTTGACGGGGTACAGGCTTAGGGGTTGGCCACCCAGGGTCCAAACAGAAGGACCCTGACACTGGGCCCCTGGCTGATCCCCGCCTCCCCCACCCCCGGCCCAGTCGGACCTCTTCCAGGACGATCTGTACCCTGACACAGCTGGGCCAGAGGCGGCCCTGGAGGCAGAAGAGTGGGTGAGCGGGCGGGATGCCGACCCCATCCTCATCTCCCTGCGGGAGGCCTACGTGCCCAGCAAACAGCGGGACCTGAAGGTCAGCCGGCGCAACGTGTTATCCGATAGCCGGCCTGCCGCGGCCCCCAGCTCTGCCCGCCTGGGAGCCTCCACATCTGCTGCCTCCACTCACACCATCGCCCCCAGCGGCAGCCTCGCCGGAGCCGGGGTACGTGCCTCCCACTCCGGGTGGCGGTGGGAAGCCCCAGGTGTCGCCCCGGTCTGCTGCGTGTGCCTGAACCATTCGCTGCCTGTGTGCGGGGCTCCCGCCCCCTGCCGGGTAGGTTTGGGGAGGGCTTGCGGCTCCTTGACCCTAGTGCCCGCCTTCCTTGTCCCTGCAGGAGGCTGGGAAGCTGGAGGAGGTGATGCAGGAGCTCCGGGCGCTGAGGGCACTGGTCAAGGAGCAGGGGGAGCGCATTGGCCGCCTGGAGGAGCAGCTCAGCCGAGTAGAGAATGGGGATGCTTAGGACCATAGGCCCAGGGGGCGCCACTCCCCCTCACCTCCTCCTCCTCCTCCACCCCCTTCTCACCCAGCCTCTGTTGGCAAGTTCCACCGCCAGCTGGCTGCCTCCCGCCCCTGCCCGGGGCCTCCGGGGCAGGTTCAGGGGCAGTCCACATCCTGACCCATCCTGTGGGCCTGGGCTCGAGCCACCACCTGGCTCTTGTCGTTGTTACTGTGGAGGGTTTTTGTACCAGGGCAAGCTTATACTTTGAGGGACCATCTCCCCCCAGCTCCCTGCTCCTTCCCCAGAGTAAGCGGGAGGGACAGCCTCTATATTTTCATTCCAAATAAAATTCTCTTTCTAAAAGCCAGGTTTGCCCTTCTGCAAAGGGTGGGGCTGGGAAAGGAAGTCTGGAGGGCTGGGGACAAATGAGGCCCACGGGGATCACAGCTACGAGGGAGGCCTGGGGGCCACGAGCATTCCCCACAGCCAGCGCTTCCCCGGATCCTGCCAAGTACAGAAACTGAGGTCGCAGACCTGCGGACACCCGGGACCACGTCCTGCTTTGAGCCGGTGCCGTTCCCCCTTTCGGAGGCCTGGTCACAGCCCCGAGTCACTGGCTTAGAGACCTATGAGGCTTTAGTGTGGGTTAGGGTGGTCCCGCGAGGCCCAAGGCCCCCCAGCAGGGGACCGTGACAGGGAGTGCTGGGTGGGGTATTGTGGGCAGGAAGCGGAAGCAGAGTAACCCCTAGCTGCAGCTGAGCGCGCCAGGCTCACTTCCACTCAACAGCCAGAGCTGGTGGTGGGCGCCTGAGCACTGAGGTCGGAGGACTGATGGTGAGCATGGGAGCCCGGTGGGCCCTGCAGTGGGGGCGACAGGTCGGGGCTGGAATGTCTGGGTCCTGGGAGCTAAGGGAGGACCCCCCCCCACCACGACTGGGGCCCAGGGGCAGAACCAGCCAGTCAAGGGCAGAGGCGGGAGAGCCAGGGCAAGCATGGGGCAGAACCTGGGCCTTCCTCTCCCCTCACCACAGAGCTGGGCCTCCTTGGGATTCAGGGTGTGCCCCTAGCGCCCCACTGCAGGCCTAGACCCCCTTCAAGAACCTTTGCTGGACCCTTTCACCTGCTCTGCTTGGGACCTGGCACCTGGGCACTGAGCCTGCCTGTATCCCTGAAGCCCAGGCAGAGAGGGCCTGGGGCAAAGAGGAGGCCTGCTTGAAACCTCGGCACCCCTCCCCCCTCTGCCACCCCCGCCCCCCACCTGCCTTTTTCCAACCGCAGGCTTCCTCTGTTAGCGCCCGGCCTCCCCCGGCCCCTGGCCCTGCGAGCCTGAGGCCCCCAGGGACGGGGAGTTGAGCGGAAGTGCTGCAGCTGGGGCAGTCCCATGGGTGGGAGGGAAGAGGGGCTTCAGGGCCTCCCATCCTGAGACCTGGCCCAGTGGAGGGTAACCAGTTGTCTTGGAGGCAGTCCCTCCATCCCAGGCCTCAGGAAGATCCAGCCCCCCAACAACCAGCCTGGCAGGCGACCCCCCTCCTTCAACGCCCCACCCACACCGCACAGGCAGAGTCTTGACACGTTCAACCAGTATTAACTGAGCACCTGCTATGTGTGCTGGAAAAAAGTGCGGGAGCCGTTAACGATGCCCGCCTCCTGGCCACTTACACTGGTGGGGCAGATAAGCCCGTGAACAGCAAGCACCTATTTGCCGGAGGAAAATAGAGCCAGGCGGGGCCAGGCTGCAGGGGGAAGCTGCAGGTCCCCGAGATGGTGCCAAGGTGAGCCGGCAGCAGCCATGTGGCTCTTGTGGATGGAGCCCCTGAGCTGAGGAGACAGCCCGCAAGCAGGCCCCCGGCAGGCGCAGGCTCATACGGCACAGGTGGGGTGGCAAGGGAAGGGCATCAGAGGCCCCCTGGCCAGATCTCAAAGGACCAGGGCCTTGCTTAGAACTCGGGTTTTTCTGCTTGACCGCCTCCATTCTGCCCAAGAGGCAACTGAGGACCCAGCCACTGGCTTTCCCCCAGCCTGACCCCAGCACCCCCACCCCAGCCACCAGCTTTCCCGCAGCCTGACCCCTCCCAGCCACCAGCTTTCCCCCAGCCTGACCCCCCCACCCCCACCCCAGCCACCAGCTTTCCCGCAGCCTGACCCCAGCCCAGGTGACGAGCCCCTGCCTGTCCCCCCACAGGACCTGCCCCGTGCCCTGGGGGTTGGGGCACTGCTGGCCCTGCCAGGGGTCCTGTGCTCGGGCGGCAGCACCAACAGCGAGGGCTCGAACTCTGGCACCGTCGTGCTGCTGCTGCTGCTGCTGCTGCTCCTGCTGGCCACCGGCCTGGCACTGGCCTGGCGCCGCCTCAGCCGCGACTCGGGGGGCTACTACCACCCGGCCCGCCTGGGCGCCGCACTGTGGGGCCGCACCCGCCGCCTGCTCTGGGCCAGCCCCCCGGGCCGCTGGCTCCGGGCCCGGGCTGAGCTGGGGTCCCCCCATGACGACCCAGAGCAGCAGCAGGACGAGCAGGACGGGGAAGACGACTACCACCCGGTCGGCGGCCTGGAGGAGGCAGAGTCCCGGGAGGAGGAGCCGCGGTGCGTGGAGGGGCCCGGCCCCCGGCAGGACCCAGAGCCCGCTGAGGAAGCGTGTGACAGTAACGCCGGTGGGGGCCTGGGCCTGGGCTCCCAGGGGCCGGCGGGCTCGGGGGGCAGTGCTGAGGCCCTGCTGAGTGACCTGCACGCCTTTGCTGGCAGCGCGGCCTGGGACGACAGCGCCGAAGCGGCCGAGGGCCAGGACCTCCACGTCACCGCACTGTAGGAGCCAGCGTGGTGCCACATCCCTGTCACCATGCCCCTGCTTCCCAAGCCGCCGTGGCTGCTTGGACACAGCCTGCCCTGGTCCCGCTGTCACCCACACCCCCAGATGGACACTCTCAGACTGTCACTCCCCCCACCCACTCCGTCCCCAGAGCTGTGCATCCCTGTCCCCACCAGGAAGGCCACCCATCCCTATGGGCACCGGGCAGCCACCTGAAATAAAAGCCCTCCAGCCCCGTGGCTCTGTGGTCCTGTGGCAAGCCTCCCCGTCTCTAAGCAGGGGCTCCTCCTGCCACTCCCCCCGCCCCACCCCTGCCCCCTAGAAGTTCAAGGGAAGAGCCAGGTCAGTGCCATGATTCAATAGTTTAATTCTCCAAGGGCACAGCTCAACTGCGGGAGGCCAGCTGGGCGGCAAGGCCACTCCACCGGACAGCCACAGCCGGGGGCCCCTTGTGGGCATGGTTCAGGGGCACAGCCACCGCCAAGAGACGCGCTGCCACACGCTGTACTCCTGGCTTCTGGACCTGGCCGGGAGTCCCGCTCGCCCTCACGGCCATCCGTCCTCCTAGCGCCCAGGGCGCCCACGGCCCCTCTTGGACTTCTTGGTCCCTGAGGGGGGTCGGATGGGGAGGGGTGCAGAGCTCGAGGGCGGCGGCGGCGGCAGGAGAGGAGGTAGGGGGGGCTCCGAGGGCTCCACTGGGCCAGGGCTGGGCCGGAACCCCTCAAAGGGTGAGAATTTCAGGGGGCTGCGGGGGAAACCAAGGCTGAGTCAGCACCTACCGGCACTGGGGTCAGAGGCCCAACTTCCCCCCCTGCCGGGCACACAGGCTGTGAGGTCAAGTGCCCAAGCCAGGCAGCCTGTGCCACGACGGGGCCCTGGTGGTAGAAGGGAGAGTGGAGGCAAGCCCTGGGGTGGACGGGCAGGGCCACAACCGGCCTCCGACGCCAGCTACGCACCCCCCCTACCCTGCGGTACCTGACCGGGGTCCGGGGGCTGCTGTTCAGCCGCCTGGGGGAGCGGAGCTTGGGCTGGAAGGAGAAGCCCTCCTTGATGCTGTCCAGGACGGAGGGAGCCACGTACGTGAAGCCCTGGGGAGGAGGGGCAGAGGCAGGGCTGGGCTCGGCACCCGCCGCCCCTCAGCCACCATCCTGCCCGTGCCCCCGTAACCCCCGGGCCCCAAGGGACCTCACCAGGAAGGCCTGGTTGGCGCTCTCGCTGAGGGCCGTGTCATCGGGACTGTCCACCGGCGTCTGCCGTGTGAAGTGGATGTCAAACTGGCTCACGTCCTCCTCTGACTGCTGCGAGCACCCCGAACAGGGAGCAGGGGTCAGGGGGCGTCCAAGCGGGTCCCCTGCCAGTCCCCCCAAGCCGACGGGACCTCCACTCACCAGACAGGGCCTGAAAGGAGGGTCCACGCGGCGAGCCAGGAGGTCGTCCCAGTGAATGTGCCGGAAGAAGGGGTGTCTCTGTGGGTAGAAGAGTGCCCCCCAAACACGCCACCATTTCACCCTCCTCGGCTCCCTCAGTAGCTCCCTCTGCCCTAAGGCCCTGCCTGGGTCCTGCCCTCTGGGGGCTCAGCCCTGCCCTCTCCTGGTGCTCCCAGACCCACCTGCACATCAGCAGCGTCCCCGGGGCCACCCCCGATCCGCTGGCTGGGATTCCGCTTCAGAAACTGCAGGGCAAGGGTAGAGGGTGAGGGTCTGGGGGAGAGGCACTGACTGTGTGTTCCTCTGTGTTCCCGGGGTGGGGGGGGGGGGCGGCTGGGGCGGGGAAAGGGGAGACCAGGAGGGCAGAGGAGGGAGAAGCCCCCTGCAGTGTGGTCTCCACCTACGGACCAACCTGGGACCTCTCAGATTTGGTCCCAGGGGCCCTGCCCCATGAAGCCTTCGGAAAGGTACCCGGTCGCCGGGCCCCCCAGGGCACCTCAGTAGGTGCCCAGTCTCCCGCTTTTACCCCCAGTGAGTGCCTTCTCCGTGGGAGAGCACCTGGCTCATCATAAACGTTTTGTTTTGCTGACCGGGACTTGGACTAGGGATGCAGAAGCGGGGCAGCTGGCCCACAAAAGGGCTAAGGCCCAAGCCCAATGTCCCGGATGCCAAAGTAGGTGCTGCTTCGTCCTGAAGGCGCACTGCACAAGCAGGGCCGTCCTACAGCCCAGAGGACCCCATACAGGGCCTAGAAGACGTGGGGGCTGGACTGGGGCAGGAGGGCGGCCCAGGCTTTTTTTTTTCTTAGTTTATTTATTTATTTATTTAGAGAGAGAATCCCAAGCAGGCTCCACGCTGGGGCTCAAACCCACGAACTGTAAGATCATGACCTGAGCTAAAATCGAGAGTCTGGACGCTTAACTGCCCGAGTCACCCGGGCACCCCCGGAGCCCACCTTTTTGACGAGGTCCCGGGCATCCGGGGTGAGGTAGGGGGGCAGCGTCAGCTTCCCTTTGATGATCTTGTCCATGGTTTTCTTCCGGTTCTCTGCGGTGAAGGGTGGCTGGAGAAAGCAGAGGGTGAGAGGCGACTTGTGGGCTTCACCCCGGGCCCTGCCCCTGCCCGGGATGCGGACCCCCTCCCGCCCCGCCCCCCTCCCCTCCTCCCAAGGAGGCTGGACTTGCCGATCCAGTGAGCATGTCATACATCAGGGCCCCCAGGCTCCACCAGTCCACCGCCCGGTTGTGGCCACTGCGCACCAGAATCTCAGGGGCCCTGGGGGCCAGGCGAAAGCATCAGTCGGGCCAGGCCTTTCCCGGCAGTTGGCCCGACCCCTGGTCCCAGCCAGCTTTCACTCACATGTACTCAATGGTGCCACAGAAAGTGTGGGTGACAGCGCCCTCGTGGATCGACTCCTTGCAGAGTCCGAAGTCTGTCAGTTTGATGTGGCCTGAGGAGTTGTGGGAGAGGGTGGTCAGGGCCCTGGCTCCTGGCATGGTGCTCCTCAGCCCTCCCCGCTGATTCTGACCCATATAGGCAGCTGCAGGGGTGAGGGGCGGCGTGCACACATGCGCACCCTGGCTGTTGAGCATGATGTTCTCAGGCTTGAGGTCCCGGTAGATGATGCCTTGGGAGTGGAGATGTCCCAGGGCCAGCGTGATCTCTGCCAGGTAGAAGCTGCAGAGACGGGACAGGGTGAAGGCCAGGGTAGGGGTGGGGCTTGGCTCTGGGGAGAGGGGATTCCCAGGAGCCCCTCAGGAGAAGCAGGACCTATTACCTACCAGGCTGTGTCTTCCAGGAAGATGCCTTCTCGCTCCAGATGCGTGAAGAGCTCACCGCCTGTGACACAAATACGTCAGCAGCTGTGGGCTGGGAGCGGGCGCCTTTGCTCCCTGAATCTTGGTTTCTTCTTGGGGAGAGCGGGACTCAGAATTCCAGCCCTACCTGCCTCACAGAGCTGCCGTGGGGATTCAATTCAATTCAGCAAACATCTACCGACGCCTACTCGGTGTCTGGCCCTGTGCTGGGTGAAGCTGGGGACACAGAGATGAAGAGACCCAGCCACTCCCCTCAGGAAGCTCAGTCTAACGGGAAGATAGACATGCACACACGTGCTCTAATACGCCAGACTGAGGCAACAGCTCCAAGAGCTTAACCAAAAAAAATCTCACAGAGGCCAAATTACTCCCAACGTGAGCGGACGCAGCCCACGGGTGCTGAGACAGACACAGATCATCAGGTGCTGATGAGCCACGGGCAGGTAGCCGGCCCCACTGCTTTGTAGCCAACAGGGGGCGCCAGACTTATGTGGGCAGTTACAAGGAGCCTCGATTGTGAGTAGGAGTGTTGGGGACAATTCCGAGCCCAGGCGATGAGCACCGGGGGAGTTCGTGGAGGAGACATTAGGAAACATTAGGAAGAGGGCGAGCTGACAGCCTCGGGTCCGGTTAGGACACAACTGTGCCTCGTGCCCTCCCCTCAGGAGAGTGGAGATGATGGAGGGCACTGCCTAGAACGAGCCAGCTGGATCTGGGACCTGACGTGACACAGGACACCCAGCAGAGAGGAACAGGACATGAAGGGGTGGTGGATATGGACAAAACAAACCCCTGGGGTTCTGTACAAACTCCCGCCGTTCCCGTCCACCCCCAATACAGGTGAGGGACACACGAAGTGCGGGACAGACGTTTGCTGAATGAATGAATGAATGAATGAATGAATGAATGAATGAAGGGACGGATGGACAGACGGATGGATGAATGTGGGGGCCCCCTAGCCATTCTACACACCACATCTCTCCGGGCTTCCCCCAGAGCTCCCAGTGCTTCCTGGCTGGTTCCCTGGCCCTGGTTCCCCAACTGGGTCCACGCTCATACCACTGAGGCACTCGAGGATGAGGTAGAGTTTGCCGCCGGTCTGGAAGGCATAGGCCAGCTCCACAATGAAGGGGTGCTTCACCGACTCCAGAATGTTCCGTTCAGCTCGCGTGTGTGCTGTGTCCTTGGCGTTACGCACAATTTTGGCCTGAAGAGGCAGGGACCGGTCAGAAGGCGGGCACCTCGGGCTCCTTTAGTCCCTCCAGCTATTACCCTTCTGCCACCCTTTCTCACGCCATCCTATTTCTCCGTAATTCCACTAACACAGTCATCCTTCTCCACGACCGATTTATCATCTAGAGCTATTTCCCCCCTTCGGCAGGTAATGCTTTGTTGTGGGCGCTGTCTGGTACATTGGAGGATGTTTAGCAGCACCGCTGGCCTCTACTCACTGGATGCCAGTGGCACCCTCCCCAGCGGTGACTCGAAAATGTATGTGGAAATTGCCAAATGTCCCCTGGGAGGCAAAACAGCCCACGGGTGAGAACTACTATAAAGCAATGTAACCGCAATTGACAATAAACCAGCAAATTGCCCATCCATTTCCTCCAACACGTTCAGTACAGTCTTCCCAAAGCCTGGAGGAGCGCATGGGGAGTGGCAGCCACCCGAGTAAGGATTTGTTGGCGAACACATGACTCACCTTCCTCAGGACTTTCATGGCATATATCTTCCCCAAGTTGGTGCCCTGCACCTTTCGCACCTGGAACACCTGTAAGGCAGGGGAGACAAGATCAACCTCCCTCTCCATTTGACCTTCAAAAAGCTCCACCCTGAAGCTCTGGCAATTGAGACCAAGAGCCCTAGGTCCACCCAAGGGTGGGGCAGTAAAAATGTCAAGGTTGAGTCCGACAGGATTTGCCTTTCCCTCCTTTATGTTTTTATCTCAGAGATCTAGGGAGGCCCTGCTGATTTACAAGCTTCATTTGTTTGGAG